TGCTATTTTGGCGAGGACTTCGTTTGGGACGCCGTCTGGCCCGGTTGCCTTGCCGGGAGGAAGTCTCTTGCAGGATAGTTGCAGTTCAGGCATAGTGAAAGGCCCAGTAACTTGTTCGTCATTCTCAGGATCCTCCGGAGGGAGCGGGGTGTGATGCCAGTCGGTGAGTGGGTGATTTGGGAAGAGGTGATCGGCTATTGTCAATTCTCTACCTCGCGATTCGGTTCCCGGTCGATTGCGGCCTATCCGCTTTGTAACGACTCTATAAGGAAGTCCCCAAGGGTCGGAATCAACGGCAGCGCAGAGATCGGACCAACTCTTGGCCTGAGCGGTTCTGATTGATGTTTGGAGCTCCTTTCTCTTGGTTTTGTATGCTTCGCGGAGAAGTTGCAGCTGTTCAGTGGGCTCGCGTCTTCGGGCTGCCCTGTGGTAGCATCTGCGTGACCTACTGTGCTCGGCGCGTAGCGCTGCAATGGTTTCGTTCCACCAGTGCACCTGCTTCCTGCCTGCAGGAGGAGGAGCTCTGGGCGGCATACAGGAGTCGCAGGCTGCAGAGAGATACGCGACCAGCTGGTCAGCCGCGTCGTCGGCTGTTGTAGTTGCATCGGTGTGAGGGGTTGGGAAGGCGGCCAGATGAGCGGTCAGGGCTACCGTGTCCAGGCGTCTGTAGGACCACCCTCTGAGTCGTTCGGCAGGATCGTGCCGTTCCTGGGCCCTTTGTAACCGGAATTTTATGTAACTATGGTCACTCGCCGATTCAACATCGTCCAAGACCCTCCAGTCTGCAAGGGAGAGGGAAGATCGAGGGCGGAGAAAAGTGACATCTATGATGGACTGCGCGTTCGACCTAACGTACGTGGGGACGTAGCCATTGTTACCAACGAGGAGGTCGAGACTCGCAGCAAGATCTGATAGTTGATCGCCTCTCTGGTCGTTCCGTGTTGACCCCCAACTGTGGGACCAGGCGTTAAAGTCGCCTCCAATGACGAGAGTGCAGTCGGGGTCTGCGGACCGAATTGACTGCTCGAGGTCGCCGAGGAAGGCCGTGTAATTTTCGCTGGAGTCGTTTCTGGAGGAATAGCAGCTATAAGTTCTGACGTTGCGCGTCTGGATCCAGGCAAATCCGCGGCCCGAGCCTGAGGTGTCTGCAACGAATTCGGCGGTAGGCGTTAAGACGACTGCGCAGGTTCCGTCGGTGCTGACTGTCCATCGGTCATCCCGAGCTGGACTCCAGTTCTGCTCAGATAGGAGTAGCACCTGGGCGCCGATGGAGGCAGAGGTCTGTTGGGCCAGGCTCTGGGCAGTGGCGCTCCGGTGGAGATTTATCTGAAGGAACGTGATCATGTTCGGTTAGTGGCGTTCATCTCTGAGATGGCTTTCCTTCGGGCGGCGCAAGCCCCGGAGCCGGGCTTGTGAGGCACGCGTGGGGCCTTGATGCGGTCACAGGCGACGCACAGGTCCGCACCCTCGGTGCATGTGGCCTCGGTGTGTCCGTTCTGTCCGCATCTTCGGCAGGCGTGAGAGAGGTCGGTGCCGGTGCACTGCCGCGTGGCGTGTCCGTAGCCGTGGCAGCGGTAGCACTTTGCCGGCTCCGGTCTGCGCGGGCGGACCCGGCACTGTGTCCAGCCGACGCGGACAGAGGTCAGCCTCTGACTTACGGCGATTGGGACGGTGGCGGTGGCCATTTGTCGGCTGTCCCGCGTGGCCCACAGGCCGGTGATTCTGACTTCGTCTGACGAGAGGGGTTGGTCGTCCGGTGCGCCCTTAATGATCGCTGCGAGGACCTCCTCCCTGGTGGCGACCTCGTCGAGGTCGGTAATTTCAATGTCAGCGGTGTGCCGGAGCCTGGTGACAGTGGAACCCGCGATGCTCTCGGCCAGCCTGTCCCGGATGGTTGCGGTGGCTGCCGTGGCCTTGGCGCCCTTGGTGAGTTCGACGAGCAAGTCGCCCTTGAGAGTTTTCCTCATGGAGGTGACGTGGGTGCCGAGGCCTTCGAAGTCTATCGGTGTGCCCCTGACTTGTCGCAGCGTGTCCGCATAGGTCCGGCCTTCGCCGACCTTGATCAGGACGGCTGCGGGTCTCTGTGTCGTTTTCCTGGTCGACAGAGGTCTGGATCCGTTTGTGTTCTTCTTCTGGTTCCTCACCAGCGTGAAGGCCGCTTCGGGCTCGGGTAGTGTTTTTTCCGGTTGAGAGTTTGCCTCGGAAGGCTGAGTCGTTTTGGCCTGCGCGGGGGGGTTGGCCATGGGGGTCCTTGCGTCCAGCTTGGATTTTTGGTTATTCCTCCTTCGACGACCGTTGCCGTTGGCCGTTTGGCCGGTTTTTCCGGCGGGCTGGGAGGAAGTCGTGGGCTTCGGTGCGTTGGCGGCAGGAATGTCGATGTTGGGATCGGTGGCGGTGGAGGCATCTTTTTGGCCGGGTGGCGGCCGTTGGTCCTTGTCGAGCAGTTTCAGAGCTTTGCAAACTTGCTCGAGTGCTCTGGTGACTTTTGACAGGCAGGGGCCGATGTAATCCTCGGAGTAGAACTCGTCCGCGAGGCTCTGTACGAGATCACAGGCATATTCCGTGGCTCTGGTGGCTGCGATGAGCGCGTTGCCGGAGTCTGAGGTGGTCGGTGTTTTGGTTGTTGTCGAAGTAGCGGTGTTGGGCGTCTTCTTCTTCTTCGTCTTCTGGACCTGGGAGTCTGCGGCCGGGGAGCTGGCTTGCTTCCTCTTGTGATGAGGGCCGTGGTCGGAGAAGGCGTCCATTTCCCAGTCGTCTGGGACGGAGGACGGCATGGCTGACTATCCTGAAAAAACGGGGTCGCGAGGGCCAAGGGAAAAAAAAAAAAAAAAAAAAAAAAAAAAAAAAAAAAAAAAAAAAATTTGGGGGGGGGATTTTCGGTTTTTTTCCGTTGGGGGGACCTCGTCCGAGAGGTGCCTCTGGGCCTTGTGCCCGAGTCCTGAGGTCGTGGGACCTTTGTGGCCGGAGTTATTGGCGTTTTAAGAAAACGGGGTGAGGGGAAAACTTTCGCGTGGGGGTGGGGGCCGCTGCCCCAGCCACGTGGCTGTTTTCCGCAGCGCTCTCCGAGCGCTGGTTCTCGCACACCGGCGTTTTCAAATTTCCGATTTTTTCCGTGACCAAGTGACGTTCGCGTCCCGAGTCGTTCGCGTCGCGTTGACGTTAGAACGAATGTCGCGGATTTGCGACCGGCCCGATGGCAGTGGCAAAATCCGTTATCACGGGGATCGGAGTCGCGTGATAGTACGGGCGGCCGTGTTATTCATATGGGGTGTAAGTATAGTGTACTCACCTGGGCCCTTGAGGTCGGATATGCCCGTTCGAAGTCTTATAAAATCGGGCTCGACGAGACGGACCGGATCAGCTGATGGACCAGGACGTGAGACGTCTGGTCGTCGCTGGGTGGTCGCTTTTGTCAGCCGATATTGTACTTAGCAATAGTTGGTCTGGAGGGCTGGTTTCTGCAGCAAAACTGACGTTCGCACTCGCGTTGTGACCGGACTGTCACCGTACACTTAACGCGCGATCCGGATTTTGCGATTGGGTTCGCGGGCGTCGGATTCGGCGAACTCTGTGCGGCTGCGTAATTCGGTAGCGATTTTTCGCGGAGGCGTCACAAAGCGGCGTCGGCTTTTGCCGGGCGGCCAGCTACGGGCCCGCTGAGTACACCAAAAGATGCGCACGGGCGGTGCGGATTTTTTGGTGTATCGAACGGGTGCGTGCGGTTATCGGTTCGTTGGTGATCGGCGATTCGCGAGGAGCCGTACGGTCGGGCGGCCTGCCGCGGGGGCCTTGGTCGCCGTAGCGCACTGGATTTTGAACTTGCGTTCGCGCGCGATAGCTTGTTCTCTTAGTTGGCTCGAGACGAAGATTTTAAGACCTCGGGCGCGAGAATCGGAGGAACTTTTCCGTCGAAATTTTTTCCGGCGGCGGGCGGCGGATTTCGGCGCACTGTTTTCGAGATTTCTCAGCCGCGGCTGGTCGGATATCGACGCGCGATGTATCGACGTGACGGCGGAGACGAGACGAATCGATGGGCACTGGTTTCACTCGGATGCGTTCGGTTTTTCGGCGGAAAACAAAAAACTGCTCGGGAGCGATACGCGGGTGCGTGCTGTCGGTTTCGTGGTCGGAGCCGGACTAACCTAACCTAACCTAACCTAACCTAACCTAACCTAACCTAACCTAACCTAACCTAACCTAACCTAACCTAACCTAACCTAACCTAACCTAACCTAACCTAACCTAACCTAACCTAACCTAACCTAACCTAACCTAACCTAACCTAACCTAACCTAACCTAACCTAACCTAACCTAACCTAACCTAACCTAACCTAACCTAACCTAACCTAACCTAACTAACCTAACCTAACCTAACCTAACCTAACCTAACCTCGCATCCTGTGGCCGAAGTTATGGCTTCGAGGACCTCAGGTCCATCTGACCATTGGTCCAGGTCCCTGATTTCTACCAGCTCCCTCTGCTGCAGTGTCCTGACACCGATTTCGGCCCCTGCAGATCTCGCAATCTCTGCTCTCACTGCGGACACTTCTTCCGGGTTGCCACGCACCTCAATGAGGAGGCCGCCGGACTTTGCCTGCCTCATCCCCACTACGCGGTTACCAATGACGTCTCGGCATGCCCCACTGCGGATTTTCTTCGCGAGCTCGGGGAAGTCCTCATTGCTGACGTCCACTAGGATGGCCGGGGGGCGTGCTCCCCGTCGACGGCTCGGCACCCGCTCGGTTAATTGGACGTCTGTTTTGTCGCCTTTGTCCTTCTTGCCCTTGCTCCTAACCACGTCCGTCCAGGCTGTCTGCTTTCCCCGCTCTGCCATCTCATCCATCTTTGCGCTCTGCGCTTCGAGCAGCGTCTGCAGATTAGCGACTGCCGCCTTGACTTCCGCGCTGTCGGTAACCTAACCTAACCTAACCTAACCTAACCTAACCTAACCTAACCTAACCTAACCTAGCCCACAAATAAAGAAATCTTAACTAGTTTTTTAAATTACCACGGCTTGTTCACGCTGTCTCTCTCGTTCCTCCTTCTCTCTGGTGGACAGGATAGTGTGTACGAGTTTGGCCACTGAAGCCCAGTGGCTCCTTGATTTCAGCATCACTGTGATGGCGGTTTCTGCAGTGAATTCGACTGACAGTTCGGCTTCCAGCTCAGCCCGTGCACGCCACCACCTGTCGCAATTGAATACCGCATGCTCGGCGTTGTCTAGAGGGTCATTGCAGTCGACACAGTGCGGCTGCTCTACTTTCCGTATCCTGCAGAGGTAAAACCCGAAGCAACCATGACCGGAGAGAAATTGGGTCAAATGGAAATCGACCAGGCCGAATCCTCTCGAACACCATGTCGCCAAGTCGGGGATGAGTCTCCTCGTCCAGCTTCCTGGGTCATCCGCCTTCACTGCATCCCATCTCGCCTGCCATTTTGCGATAGTTACTTTTCTGGTTTCTTCTTTGGTTGCAACAATTCGCCCTCCTCGTCTTGCTAGGAACTCGGTCTCACGTTCTCTAGCCAATAGGTCAGCTGGTGGAGTTGACGCCAGCACGTTCACCGCTGCACCTGAAACCGTTATATAGGCACAGGTGCGGCGGAGAAGTATCTTCCGTTGAGTTTGGTTAAGCAGCTTCACATTGCCAGGGATCAGGTCGAGGGTATGTGCCCAAGACGGTGCGCCGTATAACAGCACTGAGTGGACGACCGAAGACAGCAAACGGCGCCTGTCCTCCCGCGGACCGCCCACGTTCGGCATGATCCTTGACAACTGCGTGGCGATCATTTCCGCCTTTGCAGATGCCGCCTTCAAGTGTTCCTTAAAGAACAGGGAACTGTCAATGATTATACCGAGGTATGTCATTTTTTTCGTAATCGGTATTGTCTTCCCATCGATCTTGATTATTGGTGTCTCATACTTGTACTTCAAAGTGAATAGTACAGCCTCGGTCTTGTCCGCTGCAATCTGCAGGCTGAGGTTTGTGATGCGGCCCACTACAAGCTGCAGAGCATTGTTAGCCAGTGTTTCCAACTGGGCAATAGTCTTGGCCGAGACCATCAACATTGTGTCATCCGCGAATCCAAGCAACTTCGCTCCCTGGGGTAGAGGCAATCTGAGGACATCGTCGAACGTAGCATTCCAGAGGAGGGGACCAACGACGGATCCCTGGGGTACGCCTCCAGATATTTCGACCTCCATGCTTCCGCAGCTGGTGGAAACCGTTCCAGCCCTGCTCGTGAAGTAAGACTGGAACATTCGGCGCAAGTAGGAAGGGACGTTCCAGCTCGCCAATGCTGCCATTATATCCGGCCATTTGATGGTGTTAAATGCGTTCTTTATATCGAGGCTGATCGCAAGGCAAAATTTTCCATCGTTTACTTCGTTAACGATGGCAAAGTGTAGTGTGCGCACCGCGTCATCAGTTGACAGTTTTTTCCGGAAGCCGTACTGGTTCGGCGACAGGTTGCCCATCGAGGTAATGTGGTCATCCAGCCTGCGGGTCAGAAGGAACTCCAACATCTTCCCCACGTCATTCAGGAGACAGAGCGGGCGATAGGATGACGGGACACCCTCAGGTTTGATGCCCTTCCTTAAGAGAACAATCCGGGAAGATTTCCACTCCAGCGGGAAGGTTCCTTGGTGAAGGCATTTGTTGAAAAGCTCCACTAGGATGCGCTGGTCGGCTTTGTGTACTGCCGCTAGGATTCTGCTGTTGATGCAGTCAGGCCCTGGTGCCTTATTCTTGCTACGTGCCCTTTCGACTGCCGCATTAACCTCGTCCGTGGAGAAAGGGACTGGGGGTTCAGAGGTGGGCAGGTCCCTATAACTGCTGGTTGGGTTTGTTGGGAACAGCGTTCCGATAACATTTCTCAGTGTCTGCATCTCCATCGAGGCTGTCGCTGGAGGTCCCCTCAGCTTCCTCATTACCAGTTTGTAAGGTTTTCCAAACGGGTCCGCGTCTACTGAGGAGATGAGCTCCTTCCAGCATCTCTTTTTGCTCTGCAGTATAGCCAGTTTTAGCTGTCTCTTGGCTTCGCGGAACTCGTCGCTGGTCCTGGTGAGCTCAGATTCTGCTCGTACGTGATCGAAGTCAGCCGGGGGGCGCATGCGGAGCCGGGCAATACGGGCCACCATTCTGACCTTCCGTCGTTTCGCCCTCACGCAATCCGCGCGTAACGAATTAATCTCCCCGTTCCACCAGTGCACTGGGGTCTTCCCCGCTCTGGGAGCTCGTCGGGGGGGTAGTGCGTAATCGCATGCAGCCGTTACCCTTGCGCGCAAGTTTACGGCTTCTGAATCGGCGTCGAGTCTGTCTTGGCCGATGCCTTGCTCAAGCCACTCGGCAAGCAGCATTCCAGTTAGGAAGGAATTGCTGTCAATTCCCCCAGAGGTTTCCCAGCCACAGAAGGTATTGGAGGCAGCAGGGGAAGGGCTTTCTCTGTTTCGCGCTAGGGAGTAGCGGATATAGTGGTGGTCACTATAATTGAACACCGACTCCAGCACCCTCCAGTTATTTACTCGGATTGCCAGGGTCTCCGATGCGAAGGTTACATCTACGATTGATCCTGCGCCTCTGGGGAAGGTTGGGGTGGAGCCTTCGTTCAAGGTAACGAGATCGAGGGACTCGACCAGCGAACTCAATTCATGGCCTCTCCGGTTCTCGACCCAGTCGCCCCACGCGGCGGATCTGGCGTTGAAGTCCCCGGTGACTAATACGGGAACGCCTCGCTGGGTGGATCTGATGCTGTCCCCGAGCCGCTGGAGCAGATCGCCGAAGTCTTCGAGTGGCTGGTTGGGTGAGGCGTAACAGCAGTATACCTGCACGCCGTTGAGTCGAGCGGAAATGAATTCGGGATCGCGGACCACGTTGGCGATTGTTACTCCATTGCTCGCGATGAAGATAGCCGCCCTGTTTGTGCCTGTGCTGGCGATCCAGGATGTTGAGTGGGCATCGATCCTGTAGGGGTCGCTTATGAGCGCGACGTCAATCTTCTCCTCAACCATGTATTGGGCTAACAGATCTTGAGCCGCACTACAGTGGTTGAGGTTGCTTTGAATGAAGCTTAACTCCATCATTTGGGACTCTCGGAGTTCTCTACCGGCGGTTCAGCCGACGAATCCGTCTCTCCGCGGTTCGACGCTGGAGACTGGGGATCCCTGGTCTTAGCAGGCTGCTTCTGCTGTTGTTTGCGCGTGCAAGCACTGACAAGATGGTCTTCCCCTTGGCACCTGTGGCAGCGTCGCGCCTTCGACTCGTTCTGGCACTCAGCAGCAAGATGGCCTTTCTGCTGGCATCTATAGCAGGTGGGTTGGCGTTTGTCCAGCAACTTGACCCTGCATTTCGTCCACCCTACGACGACTGCCTTACTCTCCGCCAACGCGATGGCGTCCTTGAGAGGTAGGCTCAAGCTAGCCACGAGTTCAGCTCGGCCGCCAGTATTCCTCCAGATTTTAACTTCGTCGGCTGCGACGTCAGGAATTCCTAAGCGCGCAAGTACGTCAGCCACCTCATCAGCCTCGGCCCACTCCGGGATGCCAAGTAACAGGACAGGGGTCCGGGGTACCGGGAGCCTAACCCTGGCTGAATCACCGGACACTGCCCGGATCTTATCAGCTAGGAGATCGGCTTTGTCAGCCCCTACAACTTCGAGTAGAATTCCCCCGGTCCTAGTTTTCCTCGTGGTGAGTACATTGACTCCAAGGGATTTGAGGTCAATTGCTCCGGCTACCTTCTTCATAAGAGTGGCAAGTGAACCTCCATCGACCGGACTGTCAATAATGACCGCGGCCGTTTTTGGAGCCCTGCGCCTAAGCAAGGCGATTTTATCTGCCGACGAGGGCTGCGCCCTTGGAGCTTGAGGGCGAGGATTCTTCTTGCGGGTTCTTCCAACCACCTGACTCCACGTGGGCTGCTGCTGCGATTGGGGCTGATCCCGTTCTTGTCCCTGCTCCTGCTCCTGATGGTGTTCCTGGTCCTTCTCCAGTTGTACCTGTTGACTTGGTTGCCGTTTTTTCCGTTTTACGGGCAGGGTTGCCTGTTTAGGGTGCTTCTCGGGCTGCTGCTGATGCTGCCGTTGTTGTGGCATGTCAGCCGGTGGGCGAAGTGTTCGGTCCAGGTCAGAAATTATTTTGTCCAATTTGCGATCTTGACATGCAAGCCGTTCGTCCTGGCTGTTAAACCTATCTTGAGAACCCTGCATATCGTCACCGTGATCTACAACTTGCTGCTTTTGGGTCAGCTCTTCAATTTTCTGCAGTATGCTCTGTTGATGCTGCAGTTGCTCTTCGCGTATTGTGTTGATCAGCTTCGTGGTTTGCGCGTGCTGGGTTTGCTGCTGATGCTGCAAGTTCCGAACACGAAGTTCAGTAGCATCCGGATTTCGGGTCATCCCAATCATTCTTGCACTGTTCTGGAATTCCCTGAAGCATATGCCTAGGGCCCTAATTCCATTTTTGATGTCCAGTTTCGTGTTGGACGCAGCTTGGACTGCTGCTTCCAGTGCTTCCAGATGAGTCTGCGTGTCTCCCAAGAGTTTGGTATACTTCGCTTCAGCTTGTGCGCGCGTTATCGTGTTGTCTCCAGATTTTCCATTGTCCGTGTTCTTTTTCGAGTTTACGGTGATTACCGTTGTGGGAACGATTGATGGCTGGCCCCCCCCAGAATCCGTGGGGCCTGTCTCCTCGGAGAGTGGATTCCCTGGCTTAGCCAGTTCACCACCTGGGGTAGAATTTATCTTATGTTGTGAATCCATCTTTCGAACGGCTTGTGATCTGTGGTACGCCACGTCCGCAGATGGCCGGTGCCTTGGCGAGGGTTTGCCAGGCCCCCGTTGCGTTCTGTCCGGTCGGTTGAGTCCTGATCTTGCCGCGTCTCGGGAGGTGATCGCCCTCCTGGGAGACTGTTGAGGACAGTTCTAGCCTGGTTTTTCTGTCGGGGATTTCCTTCCCTTAGGGCTTTGCTCGTCCGGGAGCAGGCTACCTCCGACCTTGCCGGCCCCAACTGGTTAAGGTCAGGGCCGGTTCAGAGCCTTTGCAAGTGTGTGCAGGCTGGCTCCGAGCCTGCCGATCCCTACCAGTGAAGGTAAAAACCGGCTCTCTGTGCTCCGACTACGACTGGTTAAGGTCGCAGCCGGGTATGGGACCGCTTGGTAAAGCCATTTAAGGCCCGCAAGCTCCCCCACCACGTCAAGGTGGGTCCCGTCGGGGGAGAACCTAACCTAACCTAACCTAACCTAACCTAACCTAACCTAACCTAACCTAACCTATCTCGAAAATAATCAATCATTGTAATTAATAAATTATAAAATGTTCAGTTTTTATAGCTAAGGATTGAAAATTTAAAACAAGATTCCATATAAGTAGATCATTCTGTTTCCAAAAAAGCTAAAAAATACACAAGCACAGTTTATTTTTATGGTCATTTTAAGTTCAAATTTGGACGAAATTACATATTAAAAAACCTAGAATAACTATTTTAGTTATTTTCTTGTGATTGTATAATATTATTCGTGGGTACTTGAAACTTCTAAAGTGTACTATTATATATCTATGATAGTATCAGGGTTTGTTGTTGATGTATAACGCGTTATAAGTACTTAATGGATATTGTGATAAGATTAATTTGGAATTTATTATAGGTACCTATGATAGGTCATTTTTTTTTTACCAATTTCTAATACCATAGATACGTATGTCATATGTTTTAAACCTAGACTGACATACCGTCTCCACTCAGAATCGTTTTTCTTATGCAATGATATTATATCATTGAATTCAAATTTAATACTATCCATTATACAGTGACCCACATGTAACCTACTGTACAGCAGAGCGACATCCACTTACCCACCTTTTTTATTTTAATTGAAGTATTAAATCCTACATTAATTATCTAATCTAAATAATACAGTAAACGTTGTTTGAAGAAATTATTTAACTAATGCTTAATCAACGATTCGTTATTCGTGTGTTATCCATAGTAGATATTGGATCATCCACAGGGCATAAATATAAGTTTAATAATAGTATTACAAATTTCAAATTGGTAATTACAATACATTACTGATAATATTTAAATTTGTCTGAGAATATAGTCGATATAGTAATGCAGCGGTTCCCAAACTGTGCGCCGCGGCGCCCTGGTGCGCCGCGATGTCTTTTCAGGGCCGCCGCGTCGCCGTAGAAATTTACCTGGTCTAAAAATAAATTCATACTATGTCTTGGGAAGGGCGCCTTGAGAAAAGTTTAGTTCAAAAAGGGCGCCGTGAGCTAAAAAAGTTTGGGAACCGCTGTAGTAATGTATGTTTAATATGTATGTTCAATAATTTGGGGGCAAGCCTGAAGCCTCCCCCAGGCCCCAGCACTCCCTAATCACCACCTATGGGGCAGAGCTCCCCACGGGTCTGTTTAATTTAAGTACGTAAAGCCCCTCCAAGTTAAAAACTAAAATAGCACCTATGCAGTCAACTGATAACTATAATATAATATAGTACATCTATTTTAAAATAATAATTTGATGCATAAAAGATGCAGCGGTGTTCGTATAACACCGTGCGTCCGTGCCGGTGGATGTGTAAAGTATATAATATATATCATGATTTACGAATCACGGTACGAGTTTACTGGGTTTTCCATATTATGGTTACCGCCGACTATCACTTCGCCGCTGTCGCGCATCGGCTGCAGGCAACTTCCAACGAATAACGATAGCATTTACAATTTCACAGACATACTTACGCTGTAAAAAATATTAAATAATAATAATATGGTGCACCTAGTATTGTAGTTGTATCTTGTTAAACAATATTATTATCTTATATTCTTTTACGAGTCGTCCGAACCCCGGCATTTTGTCTGTGCGGACTGTGAATTGTGAACTTTCGTGAATGGTGAATAGTGAATTATTGGTGCTCGCACTCTCACATTTTCGCTTGGAATTTCGATAAAAGGTAAGTACCTACCTAATATATTATTATTTTAATATTTTAATAGGTCTTAATTACAATTAAAAGTATGTACTATTGTCTATTCAAGTATGCTTATAGGGGTTCTCCGTGGCCTTTCTTTGGATTTCTTAAGTATATTAAAAAGGTGGTCCTCAATAAATATTTTAATAAAGAATATAAATCGTGCCATATATAGTAACCATTGGTTACTGTGGGGTACGGAGTCCCCCTCCGACCGCTCCGGTCGCCTTTTCGCCCCACCATCGGGGACACCCCTGTTGTTTTAGGATTCACATATCTTGCAAGATCAATTTTTTTTCAAATTGAGTAAAATAATTATTATATGCTAAACAAATATTACGATGATTTAAATCTTACCTACCTAGTACATATTAATTAGCAGATTTAAACTTAAATGTTTTATTTTATTAAGTAGGTATGTGCCTATAAATGCATAATAATAAATAATCACCTTAAATGATACTGGTACATATTTTTAACAAAAATGTCTATTATAAACATAATAAAATACATAGTTATTAGGTCGGGTATTAGGTATAAAAAATGATGAGATGTTGAGTGATGTATAGGTACTACTTAACTCATTATAAATTATATGTCTATATGAGTTTTTTATATTGTATAGTACTAACTACTATAATATACTATATAAGATATACTACATTATAAATGTAGGTAATTGTTGTATTATTATTTATTTATAAGTAGGTATTAATATAATTTATATATATTTTTATTTCAGTGACTACCTTCTCACAGTATACCTACTGACTACAGGATTTTTTCAACATCTATTCAGTTTTAGAATGTGAGTAAAATTTTTAAAATAATGCCTAAATATAATTCACATATTAAGTTTAGTAAATCCACTCGTTACCGACAAAGAAAAAAAGCTTCAGCTCTATTTGAAATTTTACCAAGCATTAATAATATTGAAACTCAATCTCAAGAATCTAGTATTTTAATTGAGTCCTCTAAGTATATTCCTCTTAATGACATCTCCTCTGCATCTTCTCATGAAGTTAATTTAGACGCTTTTATTTTATTTTATAACAAAATGGGCCATGGGCCAAAGTTAAGAGTAAAATATGTATATTTTGGGTTGTATTAAATAGGTACCTATATGTTTTGAATGAGATATTCTGAACTATTTTTTATTTACATTGTAGTGACGGATCAATTTGACCACCTCCCCCCCAGAAATGTAAGCCCTGGATCCATCACTGCTATATTGTTTGTTTAAAGTTCCGTATAGTCCCCATTTAGTGTCACACTTAAATATAAAAATTCTAATTAATTTATCATTATTTTATTGTTATAGAAGCTATGTCTGGTTTGATTTCAAATTCAAATGACGAAAATACTTTTCACAAAGTAGCAGATAATTATATTCGCCATGCCCCAACCAAAGAAAAATGATAAAATATAATACAACTGTGTGATTTTTTTAGAGTAAGAAGCATATTTATTATAATTTTTATTTCATTTTGTATTACTATTTTATTAAAATAAGTAACATTATTATTTTTAGTTGCATCAATAGTAATTTTTTATTATATAATACAATTATTTTTTTTTTTATAATATTACTCATATTATTATACTTACTATAATTAATAAGTATAAAAAGAAACTTGAATAACGTTATATTTAAAAATATATATTATTCTAATAGTTTCATTTTTTATTATTATTATCATTAATTATTTAATTACTATTTTGTTAAAATATGGAAGGTAACATTTTTTTTTTTTAGTTTTATCAGAAGTCATTTTTTATTATGTTATAGGTATAATACAATTATAATTATTTATTTTTTTTTTATAATATTCCTCATATTATACTTACTACAATTAATAAGTATAAAAAGAAACTCGAATAATGTTATATTTAAAAATATATATTATTCTAATGGTTGTATAAGAAGCATTATTTCTATTATAATAACATTTTTATATCTCAAGATTTTATTTTCTTATTTGGTTAATTCATTTTGTATTTTATACTTATTTTTAATGTGTAATTATTAGTATGAATACATTTTTTAAGAATTAATATTTTAATCAGTGTACACTAAAACTAATAGTTTCGTATTATAACCACCATAACAGTGACGTTTACTAGTGGGCACTTTTTTACTTAATGGATATAATATGTAAAAATGAATAAAATTTAAAAAATATTTTGATATATACATAATATATTAGTTTTTAATTTTACTCCCCATATAAAAAATATCTGTGTACGCCACTGCACCATAGCACGGTTACAATTTTAACTGTAGCACCGGGTGTGAATAAAACGGGACACTATATAGTAAAGGTTATTAAATATAACCCATGCACGGTTTTTGAACTGACCACTGAATCAATTAAACATGGTAAATAAGAGCACCCATGCAGGGTTTCTGAACTGACCCCTGAATTTATTAAACACGGTAAATAAGAGCACCCATGCAGGGTCTCTGAACTGACCACTGAATTTATTAAACACGGTAAATAAGAGCACCCATGCATGGTGTTTTATTTTACCATAGAATGTATACTGCACGGTGTCGTCCAAGTTGAAATTCGGTATTCAAATTTTCCAAAAAAACTTTCTGTGAACCAATATAGCACTGTGTCCGACACTCAAAATAGATATCAACTAAACATTGTCTGAACTTGAATTGTTACTCGGGTAATATACAGTCATAAATACATGCGTCGTCGGAAGGTTCGACACGGTGGGATCGAAAAAACAAGAAAACGGTTCCACGCACCAACGTGATGTTAGACCCGTGGTTA